ACTATCCCCACCACTATCACCCTCACAGGCTCTAGCGGCGTCGCATTCATGGGCCCGACAAGATAAACAGCATTTTAGGCAAAGGTCTTGCAGTGTTCAGAGTCCTGCCCAGGACTATTTCTAGGGCTCTTTTTTTTGTTTGTCTTTTTCTTGGAATACTCTTACAGAGGGTATAATGAAGCCCGAACCAGGCCCTGGCTCACCATCGAAATAAATATCGATTCATTTATACATCGATATCGATATCACATACGGTTTTTGTGAGGGAAATGTTACTGCTTTGAAACTATTTCTCCACCGAACGGCAACTGGAATCCTGCTCACCAAGATTGATATCGATATCGAAACGATAAGTCGATAAGAAAAATGATAATTATGATGACTATTACGACAAATAAAATTTTCTGTATAGCTTACACAAGATCTATAACGAAAAGTATCGATCAATCGATAGCGACTATAATCGATAACCGCTTTATCGATTTTTTTATAGTAAAAATAAATCAGATTTTCTAAATGGCTCCCACAATATCGATAACGATAAATATATACAACTGCATTCTAAAAAGGAATGTTTCCAATAGCTCATGCATTATCGATATCCGTACAGCAACAATAATTCGATAACAAAAACGATAACTGCGATGCTTTCCATAGCTTCCGATAGATCAATATCGATAAACGATAAATCTGCAAGAGTATCTAAACCTACAACACCAAAATCCACGACACTTAACCTTACTTATTTTCTGCTGGCTTTTGTCGCGATAACTGCCATGACTTTTGTGTTTTTTTGTGTTTTCCTTGTTCCCGCCTGGTACCGAATGTTGTTCAGTTTGTGCCCCATACTCGTAGACTCGTATGTGTTCATTGACCGCATTTTAGCTAACTTTTTTCCAGCATTTTCTTTTATTTTTACCACCCACTGCCTCCCCTCCAGCAACCGAGCGAAGCGAGCCATTGAAAGTGCATATATCCACATACTCGTTCATGGAGGGGCAATTTCACATTGATTTTGAGTTTTCCATAAAGTTCAATGGGTTTCTGGTACAAAACGGAAACTTTTTGGCCAGCCAAGAATCGAGTTTAATGAATGAAATCACAAATATATATTGTGGGCTATGGAGAACATTGTCAATATCCTGATAAACTGTTATTGCGGGAAAGTATTTTTGGCTTTGTGCAAAAATAAGACATCAGACTTCATTTTTTTGGAACCTCTATAGGAGTATAGGCGGAAAGGATTTACCATTAAGGGATAAAGCCTCCACCTCTATATCTAGCAAGAGAATATTTCGGAAGTTACAAAAGCTTGAGCTGGTGCTTCTTCTGGAAACATCCTTCGACTAGCTTAAGGTCTGGTTTCCAATGGAATCTTTCGAAAGGATGGAAGGTTTGGTAGTGGCTTTGGAATACATCCAAGTCTGGATCTATTTGATTGGCATAATTCCTTATATTATGTAAATGAATACCAACTAATAGCTTAAGTTCTAATGAAGTTTTTTCATGTTTTGGATTACTTCTTCTATGGACCAATCGATTCTGTTCTGTCCTTAGCCTACTGGTTCGCGTTGCTTCCATCATACGGGACCATCTTGGCGCCTATATTCGCCAGTTTCTCTAAAGTAAAACGAAGAAATCTATTGCTAAGGGCAAGCAATATGTGGATCTTTGAGTATAATGGTTTTGTAAGGACTAGAGAGCCACGAGAACGAAATACCATATATATTTTGTGTAATAATGGGTAATATTATAAATTAATAGTGACTTATAATAGAATTATACATTTATTCATGGCAAAGGGTTGTAATATATGTAAGACAGTTCTAGTCCAGGTTAAACTCCCAGCAATTATGGTACCGGGTGTTCCGAAGTGGTGCACTTACTCCAAGATAAGGCTTTATTTATGTATATTATGAAAGAAGTCCCTCTGCTTTAACTTTAATGTTTTATAACACAAAATATTTTATATACAAATAATGGCGCTCTTCAAATGCAGGTTGCCGGAGGGCTCTCGTTTCTTGTGGCATTTGCCATCTTCTAGGGATTCCCCGGAGGAGGTCATTGTACTATAGATGTTTTATAAGCTTTCCAATGCCTGCAAATCTCAAAGAGCACGCGCGTGTCCCTTTAGAAGAAATTTGTCAACTGTCTACCAATTGACTTAACAAAATAATCCTTTATATTAAATCTTGCAGTCCACCCATAAATATATTCGCAAATGTAGCCAAAAATTCCCACAATTCAACTATATCCAAATGTCAACAAAATAGATAGTTTTATGATTTAACTGCAGATTAATGAACTTGGGCGAAAAACACACACAGAGAGACCACACAGTGGCATGTGGCAAGTGGAGCCATTAAGATGCCATTTAAACCCGAAATAACCGAAAAGCCATGAAAAGACAATAAATAATTCGAAAATTTGACCGCAAGGCAGAAGGCCAGCCTATTCGAAAGGGAAGGGTGGAGCGGTGGAACTTCTTAAGAGAGTTTCCCCCAAGTGTTAATAGCTCATAAATATTTGAAAATGTTTTGCATTTTCTTTGCCATTCCGTTGAAGGCGTCGCCCGGGCAGGGGGCCGTGTGTCGTGTGTGTCTTGTGTGGTCGTCATAAATGGAGGATCCACAGAACGTCCCTTAAGTGTGACATAATATCTGAAATATTCTGTGCAAAGTTACACAAAGGATGGAGAATGGAGGATGGAGGATGGAGGAGCACATGTGCTTGCCTTGCATGGCCATTTAATTTTGCAAAATGTTTGTTTGATGTCCTTAATAGGCTTAGAGACGCTTGCTACCTTGCAACCGAAAAATGATGAAATATTCAAAAGTTTGTGGAGCCCCCAACCCCCGACCGAGTAGGGCCAAGAAAGCTGCAAGTCAAACACACAAGTTTCACCATTTTTCTGCTGCTTTTCCTTGGCTTTTCCTTTCCCTGACACATATTTCACTTGATAATGCCACGACAAGACCAAGTCCACCTTCAGGTTCACTTAGATATCCTTTTAGCCTCAGAGCCTTATCCCCGCCCCAGCTTTTGAATTGCATTTGCCTTTCCACACACACACACACACAGACACACATATGTCTGAGTGTCCTCTCCCTCTCTGCCGTGCCCCCCTGGCTGTGCAGTGGCGCGCTTCCTTGAGAAATGTCGCCATCATCGTAGGTAGGTGGTCTCCGGTCTTGGGTCTCCTGGGTCTTGAGGGGCCAGGCCCAACTTTGGGCCATTGAGGTTGTCGAAAGTTTGTCTATTCATTAACCCAAATATACTCGTACTCGTATTCGTCCTCGTCCCCGTGTCTGTCTGTCTGTGTGTGGGTAGGGGGACTGGGAATAACACAAAAGAGTAGGCCAGGTTTAAGCCTAAAGTTTCACAAGCTAATTTGCATTTTTGAGTGACTGCACACAGGACTCTCGTGACTTAAAAAATACCCCCTTCCCCCATCTCTTCACCATGCCAGATGGCAGCGATAGGTCTGGCAGTTCTCAGACTAAAGACTAAACGGGGCTAATCGCATTCGGTTGGGCTGCAGGTGACATCAAAGGCCACAGGGCATGTCCTTTAATTCAATTAGGATGATGTGTATTCGAATACACTTTCCCCACTTGACTTCTACATTATAATGTGAAGAAAACAACCCACTATGGAGCAAAAGAAGCACGTATTTTCGTAACTACAAACTATGGAAATGACCAGAGCTTGAATTGCTTCAGTCAACGGTTCCAGAATCAAGCATCGAACGCAGGAAGAATACCTAGGGCTCATTCTCAATCTGCGACTGACTTGACGGCTGTCATATTTATGGAATAAAATCATTATAAACATTGCTTCCGACTTATCAAAGCTGCTGCTTCTAAACTTAGGCAAGAAAAGCCGCAAACTGCATCGCGGGTATCGGGCTTCTAGTAAAATTTGGATCTATTTTCTTTGGGACACGTCACAAGACCCAAGCTTCATGACAATCTCTATCAAGCCCCCATACACTATCGCAGAGGCACACCAATCGTGAAATATGTAATAAGGTGACGTAGTCCGCTGTGGTGAGGACCATCCCCGCTCTCGTGGCTCTCACACAGACAAGCGCTAGAAAGAGATAGCAAACGTTTTACGCTCTGCACGTTTGCATGCATACTGGCAAACGGATGGTCCTTGAAAGAGAACAGATGTGCTGATGACACCACCTAACAAGTGGTGACCCTTTTGATCCTCTCTAAGCCAGTGGTCTCTCTCCCTTCGCACTCTCTCACTAACACTAACACTTACTCGCTCGTAAAGAGGGCAACGAAATTTCACACTGAGAATAATCTTGTCGTCAATTCTTGGACATAAAACAGACACACATATATTTGGGTGTGATAGTGTTAGTGTTTTAACAAAAAATTTACATGCTTGATCCAATACGCTGCTTATATTTGTAATACAATATAACAGTTTCAGATGATGTGGAGCGACTAGTCTCATTTCGAATGGCAAGTAGATCCGTGATTATAACTTGCATTTCATCTCGCAGAGCGCTTTCTGCCCCCAAAGATTTTCGTTGCCACCACATCCGCTGTAAACGAACATTTCGCACTCGTTCGTCTTGGGATCATAGGTAAAACTTTCAAACGTGTAATGGCAAAATCTGCTGCTGGTCGCGGGTAGACCACAGATCGCTGCAAGGTAGAATGAGATACTTGCAGATACAGATACATCATCATACTCTCGCTCAGCTCACGATTCTTTAGGCGAAGAGCAACCCCAGACCAGACCCAGGCAAAGATAACGCCTACGATGAAAACTAATATCATTCTCGTTGCGGATTAGTGGGCTTTATCTTCCAGCTGATGTGGAGCGACTTGTCTGGTTTCTACGACGAAGTAGACCTTTGAAGAATAACAATAATTTAATTAGTTCTGGAAAGGGAATCAGACCGAGAATCCGGAACAGAGATCCGATATTCTTTGAACCAAAAGATCCTAATATCAGCCAAAGTCTGAATTTTTTTTCTATTGAATATCTATTTATTCGTACATTCGTGATGTACTAAGAATATTAAATGATGAATTATTCTTTGCACTTTTCCTCGCAGTCCTCTTTCAGGGAGAAACGATTTTCGTTTCCGTCACATCCGCCGTAATTGAACTCTGTGCACTCGTTCTTATCGGGATGATAACTAAAAGATGGAAAAAGGCCACGGCAACGGCCACTAAAATCTGGTGGTTGACCACAGACCGCTGCAAGAGACAGTGAGAAAAGATACAATCAGTGTTACATTGCGATGCACCTTTTCTCTCGTTAAACTTACCATCCCTTAGGCCAAGAGAAGCCCCAGACAAGGCAAAGATAAAGCCTACGATAAGAATTAACTTCATTCTCGTTTGCGGATCAGTGGACTGTTTCCTTCTGGTTTCTAACGGGAAGTGTATTTAGAGGGAGTAAGAACTGTGTTACACCATTCAGTTTCATTAGTTCTGGAAAGGGAATCAAAGCGGAACAAACCGATTCAAAATCGAATCCGGAAGTTTCCTCGATATCTGATGGGCTCTGATGATGGGAGCTCAGTGGCAGCAACGACAGTCTCTCGGATGAGACCAACAGTTGCACCATGCTATACTATGTCGCCCTTGCTGTCCTGGGACATAACCCCCTTAGTCTTATACAGAATATATACTCACTCAACGAATGTTTCCTTGTGCTAATACCGATTGGACCACAAAAGTAGGCTTACCAATACGAAAAGCAGCTCAAATGATTCATTTGGCAGGCCAAACGCAGAGATTAAGTACTCTTCAACGGGCACCTGATAACCATTAACAAATCCAGCCCGAGGGCACTTCAATTTCAGTTCTCTCTGGCCTTTTTTCTAGAGTGAGGACTGAAAAATTTAAGAAAACAATTTTGTAATATGTTCAATGTTTCATATGTTCTAAGCAAGGAACTTAAACGAGAGCCAAAAGATGGGCTACATCTACAGCCTAAAACCAACCTTATAGAGGCAGACTATCGATCTATGCATCCATGGCATCGTCTTATACTGAACAAGGATTGAAACCATTTGAAAGGCGAAGAAAGAGTGAAAGAAGCTCATTAAGGACGAAGTCCATTGAGCGAAATCTGGGTCATTTGGGTATCAAAGAAGTCATCGCCATGCCAGAATCATCCCATAGCTTCAATGCCGATACCCCATAGTCCAGCGAGGACTAAACAGATTGCAAAGTATGCAAAGATTCTGTTTCAGAACCTCCACATTAAGTTGAATAACATATTCAGAGACTATACTATACTTTAAGGACAGTCTGCACTTGGCCGGATCAGACATCTTCGCCAGGCACCCTTTGGGCAGCCTGTTGTAAGACATAGAACGACGTAAGCGATGTCTTCTTCCGACTGGTGTTCCCCCCACAGAGTAAGGATGTCCAAACCTATGATTTCCATATCATGGAGGCACTCCTAGTGCCATTCGATTTGTGAGAGGAATGTGTGCGTGTGAATATTATGTTCCTCCAGCGCGCAGGATCTTCCTTCATTGGTTGGGGCCGCACGTGTTACCTTATTCCAACCAGTCAAGGGCATTATCTAATCAACAGCTTTTATCTGCCATCACACATGATGATTGCTGCTGCCTTTTATGACAGTCCGCCGGGGGAGGCTGCAAATCATGTACGCCCAATTAGACACTGCCTATTTTTAATCCCGACAAAGTCTTTGCCTTTCGTAATTATTTTTCAACAAAGTGAACAGAGGGGCGGCACTCCGCTTCGCTCCGCTCATAGAAAGTTGAGATAGATTTGTGTGAAATCAGCGCCAACCAATTTCAAATCAATTACCCCAAAAAAAGAAGAAGGAAAAAACCCCAGCTAGAAAGAGGCAACGAATCGGAGGACCTAATCGAGCGTAATGATTGCGTTGGCCTCAACAAATACTCGTCGAAGATCAGGGAGGAAAAAAATCGTGCAGAAAAGTTTCTGGTTTCCATTTCTGGTCCTGAATTTGCGCCAAATTAAGCGGTCATTATTTTAAGTGTGCTGCCGAAAGGAATCCATAGAAAATTCTATCTAATGGCAGGCCGGCAAAACTTTACGGCCACGTTGAAGGGCATTTAAAGTTGTTCGGGTCTTAATGAACACGTGTTTGCATAGCATTAAAATTGAATGCTGTCGCTCATTAAAATTTTAAACATTTAAACGAAAACAAGAAACAAGCATTTCAGGGGGCGGAAGAGGGGACGGGGACTGCTGCTTGACATACTCGTAGTTGGAAAGGTTGCCGGTTGCCCCTGCCGGTTGCCCCTGCGGGCGGCATGCATCATATCACAATAATAACGAAGCATTTAACATTAAATGTCAGAAAAGGGTTTCGGTTTTGGGTTCCGGGTCCCATCAACAGGAGCTGGAATGCCTGCCCGGGGCCCTCCCTCAAAGTGTTTGGTCACTCATTTGGAGCGATTCGATTCGATGCGATGAGTGGGGGGGGGGGGGGCGGCCTGCAACAACATATTGCTAAAGAGAAAGGATCCCGACGTCGACACGGGCGGCTCTTCCCGCTGATTGACCGACTGACGGGGACATGGGACATGGAACATGGACACAAGTTCAATTCAATTTTTCGGCCATGTTTTTGTCATTTCCATATATGCAAATGAATGTGTGGAAACCCCGGAAAATCAAGCAGACATCGTGGAAGGGGGGGGTATTCGGTTGCTAGGCCCTCGGCTCGCTGTGGGTTCTGTTTTCATTAAAGTGAAGGAAGGCAAATGGCATGCGTGTGTCCGAAACTTGGATAAATGATCCATAAACATTGACAGCTCTCTTGGTAGATTGATTCCTGGTGCGGTAAGTACATATCCTATGCCTCATTCATATTTCTTCCCTTAAACCGAGGAAATATCATCCGACACTAGAAAATAGTGTACAAATTACATTCAATAAAGAAAACTCAACTAAAGAAAACTGGTATAGAAAATCTTTTAGTATATATAAACAATGTAACTTTTCCAGAAGATTAGAAGACAACCCATGGAAAAACACAGTATTTTTTGTTGAATAAATGCTAAAAAATTGTTTAAAGAAGATGGATGATAAGTACTTATCGATATACTCGTAAAACACCAAGTTTTATTCACTAAAAAGACACTTTTTATTAATATGTCCTTACAAAACCTTTACAAATCATTTAAGAGCTAATTTTATGGTAAAATTGCTCCAAATTTAAAGCTATTCTACAATTCTATGGCATAGAAAAACCTTCCTTTCCAAAAACGAACAAATGCTGGACATGGAATGAACCAAATATCTCATAAATAATGACAGCGGAATGGAGTGGTGGGTGGTGTTATAGGAAACACTTTGCCAAAGGGCTTTTGAGAGCGTTTGCGAGGGGTTTCTGGCCTTTGGGGCAACATTTAATGCTGGCAAATGATTTGCAGCTGACGAAAGGCTAAACCGAATGCAGGCAACAGTTGTTGGGCAGGAAATAGAGAGAGAAAGGGATAGAGCAAGGTCTAATAGCTGGCAGGTCTGGCAGGTCAGGGGAGAGGGCTCTATTTGTTGCGTTCCAGGGAGCTGCACGGCCCAACCTTCTATTAAATACACCTTTTTCCGAGAGCGACAGCGAGAGCGACAGCGAGAGCGAGAGCATGGTAAAGTGAGTCCAATAGATAGATAGATAGATGGTTAGATACAGGACAAATACAAAATACAAATGAACATACGCAATGCGGCAATCAAAAGCCAACGGGCGGCATAAAGAGAGAGGGTGTTGGAAGAGGGAAAGAGGAAAAAGGAACAGGGTACAGCGCAGAGAGTAACAGGGTACTTTAGGTGATAGCAGGGTATATCAGAGTGTAGGTGGGGGTATGATGGCACAATGGAGGGGCCGGAAACAGAGGTACACGAGTATACGTGTGCATAGAAGGACATCCGGTCTTTGGCAGCTGGCAAATGTCATCAAGCAGTCCAAATAATAATAAAATATACACTTAAGCCTCGCTTTGTCCATGTGTGTAAACCCCCCAACCCCCTTTCTATTCCCCCCTTAAACCTCCACCTCCATTCTAACCACTCTCCCTGCCCAGACCCGGGCTCTGGCTCTGGCTGTGGCTCCGACTGTGCGTGGATTTAAATAAAACGGAAATTTATTTCGACAAATGGCATTTACTTGCAACGGATGTGCCGCCATTACAATGACACGGAAAGGCTACAGACGCACACACACAGGACATATAGGACTCCACAGGATCTGTGGCACTCTCTCTCTCTCTCTCTCCCTTTGCTCAACTCGTGCGCAATCCCAAAACGAGAGTCAGAGTCGAGCAAAACCCAGCAGGAAGGCAGACGACTGACTCACTCACTGACTGACTGAATGACTGACTGAATGCCTTCAATGTGCATAAGTGGGATAATGGGTCAGGCTAAGCCACAAGATATCCAAGTGGCATCATCATCATCATCATCATCATGATTCCGATGATGAAGATGCTGATGATAATGATGACTATAATGTCTCGTACCGGAACACCCCGCACGCAGAGGGAGAGACGGAGCGGAATGAAGCCTGGGAACACGCACAACTCAGTTCTGCCGTATGATAAATTGTAGAAGATATCACGGCGGACTCGTTTGCATATGTACATTGTACTTTATAGTTGTACACTGAAAAGAAGGAATGGGTATTACAAAAGACAGTTTTTTTTAGACATTTTGGGGAAGGCAAGGAGTTCAGAAAGTGCTTTGAGCAGAAACCGAACACGAAATATGCTCTCAATACGCTGGTACAGGAACAGTGTTGGTAACTTTTGTCAAATATTTCCCTATAAATAATACAAAGGCGTTAATCTGAAAGAATCATTTTAATGGCGACTTCTTTCGAATTCTCATGTGTTCTGGCAATTCAGTGTTGGTCGCTTGTGCAGGTAAACAGTGTTCTCAAGCAATAACAGTGCTGGGCAGACAGGAACAGTGTTGGTAACTTCCCTAAAATATATCCTAATAAATAATAGAAAAAGCCTTCATTTGGATGAATCTTCTGAAAGGTGGATTCTTACGAATTTTAATGTATTCTGGTAAATCAGTGTTGGTTAGCTCAAAAATGTGTTGGAAAACACAAAAAGTATCTCTTAGAAAAAAATAAAGGTAACTTAGAAGAAATAAAACATCAGGAACTTTAGAATTAACATCAGTTTCTTCTACACCCAAAAACAGTGTTGGATAGGTACAGGAACTTCTTTGGGGTATAGAACATTTATTGGCGTATCCTCTGTAGCCTCTAAATGGATGCTAGAAATGTCTTCTATTGTTGGAGGCACATCTTTTTTATTAACCGCCCCGCACTTATCTCAGTGCATGCCATAACTTGAGGCACAAAGGGCTTCTTGCCACAATGTTCCCCCATATCATATTTATCCCCACAGTCTCTGTCTCTCCCTCTCTCTCGCTCTCTCTTGGGGCATTTAGCATTCATGAGATAATAATAACAGAAAAAACAGAAACCAAGTGGACAGCAATAAATGATTTCGAGGCCGGGGCCCGAAACATGTCATGATTTCTACTCTGAAAAAATTTTCTAACACAACATTGCGTATACGCAATCGTAAGTGAAAGTCGCTCTTTTTTTTGGCCACGGGCTATGGATAATTTGGGTTAAGCTCACGCACACACACACACATGGCACACCCACACACATACCCTTCCGATATGTAATATGTTCCTGGGAGTTTTTACTTTGATCCATTTACTCTTTTTTTCTCTGTTTGTTTGGCTTTTTATTAAAAACAAAATGTTTTATTTGACTAACTTGTTTATGTTTCGGCCTTAAAGTTCGGGCCCTCTCGAAAAGGGTCCTTTACAACAACAACAGCAGAAAAAGGGTTTCCGATTGTGCGTATCAATTTTTATGACTGGCGGGCGAGAGAGGCCTAGGAGAAGGCTTAAGCGGTGGCTGGACGCGTGTGAATCGCATAGGAAATGAAATTCTTATCTGGCCATTTGGGGATTTCCCCTATTTAGTGGGGATGGGGGCAAACGAGTTACTTAAGTGATGGGAAATTATATTAAATGCAATTTATTTAAGAGAAATGGCTAACAGATTTATGGTGGATTTTTTCAAGCCATCAAAGTGTTTGCAGTAGAGGCACACGTGGCTGGACATTACGATATCCGGTAAAGGTACTCACTTTTGGGATATGTTTCTCTTGCCGTTTACCCAAACCCTTTTACAACTTTTGAACCTCATTTGAACTGAAAAAGTTGCAAATTTCTCAATTAACAACATATTGATGCCCCAGTGTCGGCCCGACCCCAACAACACTTTCACCTTTAAGAGCCGTAAACCGGTAAGAACCCGTAAAACCCCCGTCCGTAACCGTTGCCATAACCACATTGTGCCCCCGTTTACGCACGCCCCTTGATAATTGAATTATGAAACATCATTTCGCGTTGTCTGCGTTAACCATAAACGCATTAAGTTCGCGTTAATGAAGAATTATGCAGATGATGTACCGAGCAGGTCCAGACCTCAGACTAGACTTCAATAAAGGAGGCAAAAGGCAAAAGGGAAAATAAAGAGAAAGCCTTGGCCATTAGCAAGTCTGCTTGGGGAAAGTCCTTTGCAGTCCATTAAAAGTGCACGGGACACAGGACACGGGACACGGGATACAGAGGGGCTGCTGCTGCTGCAGCTGGAAAAACTTCTGCAGTGAATTTGCTGAATTATTAATTAACCTCAAACAATTATTTTTTTAAAAATTTTGTGCGCATAATTAAGCAAAGAAAAAGGACCCGCTGGCTGGGAAGAGAAACATTTAAAAAAAATCCTATTAAATCGCCAAGGGATTCTGGGATAAGAGTAAGGAAAGAATGGGCCGATAAACAATGTAGATTGTAATTAACCTGAAGACCAGCCGGCAATTCAGGTGGAACGCCTCCTCGTGCTCCTCCACTTCTCATACAGGTGGCTGAACAGAGGGAGGGGTTGGCTTAATTGCATGCAGGACTGTCCCGAAGGACTCTGCCAACTGAATGACATTCATTTTCGTTTCTTGCTGCACTTCCGCTTGCCACACACACATATCCAGAGCGGAAAGGATAAAGGCAGATCCTAGAGGAGTCACAGAGAAGGTGGAAACGGCCTCCTCCTGAACGTTGAGCAATTGGGTCGCTGGCGAATTTCATAAAGCATTCTCTCATTGAAAATAATTAAAATGCGTCAAGCGTTCAAAATCAAGCAGCCTGGAAATTTAATTGTATTGAAACGAATGGTGGAAAGGTCCTGCCTCCGCCAGAGAATGAATTGGGTTCCATTTGGCAAGTGGGGCAACAAATGAGTTCATTCTCTTCTGTTATTTTCCTTCTTCTTTTTTCAGGTGATGGATAAATATGGAACAAGTTGGAGTGCTATAAACGCCATTGATCAAAGGAAAGGAGGAGGATAATGCTTAAACAATCCACTGATTAAATGGATTAATGATGCGAGAAGGATCTACTTACTGTTTGAGCGTGAAAAGATATACATTAATTGCATAAAGCATCCATTGGAAACGCTCATAACCCAATATTTGACAGTTATACCACACTGTTGGGCTGAAATCAACCCTTTTTGGTGGAACCCTTTAAGTAGCTATTGGCTAAAAACTGAAAAGCAATAGAATTAATCAAGAAAATATTATTAAACGAAGAGTAGCTTTATTTCCCTTCAATTTTTGTACATTTTACAACACTGTTGACGCGATCTATGCTACTTTTGACACTTTAAAGCTGTCAATTAGGCAACTTTTGACACTTTTAAGCTGTCAAATATGCAGCTCAAGCAATGCATTCCCCTGAGAATAAGTATCTTTAGTAATAAGTAAAAGCGTAGCCCAATAACAACAGTCTATCATGGCCCCACGCTTTTTAACCCCTTCTTTGACCAAGGGATGGTGAGTACATCCATCCATCATCATTTAAGTACCTTGATGGCCATTCAAGTGTATTCCTTTCCTTTCAATAAACTTCAGCCTAGTGTCATTCAAGCCCCCCCCCCCCCCACCCGACGCCCCCCAGTACCTACCACCTCCCCCACCACTTTCCCATTCAATTATAAATAAAGGCTTAATTTTCATATGCATATAAAAATATTTCTTTTGCTGTTATTCTTTCCATTCCATTCCGCAGATAGCGGGACACATGCCACATTTCCCATCGTCAAACGCGAATCGGGAAAAGGACCCAAGGCCACAAGTACACTGCGAAAAAGGTGACGGGGAAGGACAAATGAAAATGAAAATGAGAGCAAAAAAAACCCACAGCTGTCATTGACAATAAAAATAATAACACCCATCGACTGTTCAAAAGTCCCCACCCTTCCATTCCTGCCTCCCTTCCTTCCGATTCTTTTTTTTTATCAATCACAAAATAAACACTCAACTGTGGCAGGTCGCGGATATATATATAGATATAGTGTATGTTTATGCACACAATTTTTATGGGTATTACATGTGCACGTGTGTGTGCCCCCAGGAAGCGTGCAAGCGTCATATCACTTTGATATTCTGCCACAGCCACCAAAAAAAAAAGAAATACATAAAAAATTGTTTAATTTTCCCCCGTTTTTCTCCAATTCTCATTCCCATTATTGAAATACAAGAAAATGCCATTTGATGATTTCTATATAAATAAAAATAATTTCACATTTTTACGATTTGTTTGACAAGGAATCAGGCTACAAGAAACAAGATGTAGGACCGACCGACCGTCTGTCTGCACCTCCCCCTCTCTGGCTGAATGATTTTTCATTTCCCCCCCGCAAAACAGAAGTAGAGGAAAAAAGTAGGTAAATATATGGCAGACCCATAAATAGGAGACCGAAATCAATTGACAATTTATTGTTGGAAACATAAAAAATGAGCAAGCACCAGTCGTGCAGGAGGCGTGATTCGGGTGGCAAAAATCTATATTAAATTACGAGGCAGCTAACAAAAAGCTCAAATAATGATAATAAAACAAAACAGAAACAGAAAGAAGAATGACAGAATGAGAACAAAAAGATTGGGGATTTATACATATCTTGTATGGAGAGAAGGGATACCCTGTTAAAAGATCAGTAAATATTTCTAGAAGTTAATCATAGTTTTTTCAAGGGTATATTCTTTTATAAATATTTTATATTATTTCTGTGAGTAAAGGGAATATTTTCCTTCGAGGCACACGTGTCTCGACATGAAGATAAGCGATACTCGGGCCTGCAGTTTCCTTCTTGATGAATGATAATTGCATACAGTCTATGGATTATTTGGGTCTTGTTTTACCTTAGACACAGCCTTTAGGTTGTACCTCTAAAAGGGTATTTTAAAAAACAGAATACTATAAAATATATCGTTGATATGTCATACGCATTTATATATATATGTATAAAGAGATACATATGTACAATATGTGCATTGCTTGACTTTTTGCGGCCATTGTTGATGGTGCTCCTGGTCCTGCTTCTGCTCTTGGTCCTGTTTGTATCCCTGTGTTCCTGCTCCCGCTCCTGCCCGCCCTACTCCTTTGTTGTGTGGTGTGTGGATGCTGTGCTGCTGTTTTCTGGTGTGCCCAATTGCCTTTAAATTGTACCGAGTGTTAAGTGGCGCACGTTAAAAAAACATTTAACGTTTTTATTTACGATTCACAGAGTTTCCAGCAGCAGCAGCAGCCACAGAAGCACAACAAAAAATATATATACATGTATGTGGGGACAGTGAAAGTGTTTTGTTCTGGCCATGGCATTAGGTACTCGCAAAAAAGGAATGTATAAAAAAAGGATATTGGCAACGTAAGTGAATGGGTGGGAGGCTCGCTCACAGAGGGACAAAATATAGCGGAAATTAAAGTAAAAATATAGCATGAGAACTCATGAAAGGCTACAGAGTGGAATCGATACAGAGACAGGGACAAAGGGACAATTGTGAGTGGAAACGAAAGTGGGGAGGAAAAGTGTGTGCAAGTGCAAAAGGTAATCATTCCGACAATGAAATCTATAGAATGGTGAAACAATTGAGGTATATAGTACATGTGTCTGTTACAGCAGCTGAAAGGAGATACAAAAAATGGTTTATTTAGTAGTATATAGACGGTTATTTGTTTGCCATGCTACCATGCAAATTATGTAAGCTGAAAGATGAGTAACGACCATAGCTGGCTCTAGACTCTCTCCCTTGGGGCCCTTGAATGGACATTCATTTACCTGCAAAGTAGGCTTTCTTATTCTTCTATTTTCACATTTGAAATAATCGGACGAAAATGTTCAACTTGGCTAACCAAATTCAGTGCCGACTGGCAAAGCTTCTGCTGGTGCGATTCTCCTCCACTCAGCTGTCGCGTCCCCCCACCGAAGAATTACCGGAGGAAAGCCAACCCATTCCCAATGCCCAGGAGATGGGACTTGGGGACGAATATCGTGTGATGTTGCTGCCGAATGACTTCAAGTTGCATCGCCTCAAAGAAGGACCCGAGCGGGTGGTGGCCATTAGGAAGTCGCAGGCCTTGAAGTACTACCGCCAGCTGGCGACCGTGAGGCTCCTGGAGACGGCTGCCTCGAGGCTCTACAAGGAGCAGTTGGTGCGCGGCTTCTGTCACCTGTACACCGGGCAGGAGGCCTGCGCCGTGGGCATTCGAGCGGCGATGCGAAGCAACGATAATCTCATCACCGGCTACCGTGTCCACGGATGGGCCTACATGATGGGTGTGCCCGCTGTGGGCGTGCTGGCGGAGCTGACGGGTCGCCGGAGTGGCTGTTCCGGCGGCAAGGGCGGCTCCATGCACATGTACGGACGGAACTTCTACGGCGGCACGGGTATTGTCGGCGATCAGGTGCCCCTGGGCGCTGGCGTGGCCTTCACGAGCAAGTATCTGCAGGATGGCGGCGTCTGTCTGGCCCTCTACGGCGACGGTGCCGCCAATCAGGGCCAGGTCTTCGAGTGCTTCAACATGGCGCTGCTGTGGAAGCTACCGATGATCTTCGTGTGCGAGAACAACAACTATGGCATGGGTACCCGCTCCGAGAGGGCTGCCTCGAACATCAATTACTACACGCGTGGAGATCTCATGCCGGGCATCTGGGCGGATGGCCAGGATGTGCTGGCCGTGCGCAGTGCCACCGAGTTTGCCATCAAGCATGCCCTGAACAAGGGTCCCATACTCATGGAGCTCGGCACGTATCGCTATGGGGGACACTCCATGTCCGATCCGGGCACCAGCTACCGCACTCGCGAGGAGATCCAAAAGGTTCGCAGGCAACACGATCCGATCCAGGGCTTCCGAGAGCTCTGCTTGGATCAGCAGATCCTCTCTCTGGACGAGATTCAGGAGATCAATCAAGTGGCCCGTCTCGAGATAGAGGGGGCCATCCGTGCGGCACGAAAGGATGATGAGCCGCCACTCAACAATCTCTGTAGCGATGTCTACTCGGGGCTCTTCGAGGGGAAGCTTCGGGGAGTTCTGGCGCTGGAATTGGAGCATGACAATACAAAGGATGGAGAGGTTTAAACGGTGCTTCTGTTTATGGAGGATGTATCACAAAATTGTTGGTTGTTGAATAAACTCTGGGCCGCGAATCTGCAACTCCTTTCTCCTCATCAAAACTTTCATTAACTCTTGTGTGGTGACGACCCTTTCATTCAGCCTTCGTTCGTTCTATTTAATTTATGCTAAATGATCAACGGCTGCTGCTTACGGCTGCTTATGTCTACGTTTTATTTGCACAACAAAACGAAAACAATAATTCAGCGCCTGGAACACTGCCTGCTGCTGAACAAGCGGAAAAGAGGCAAAAACTCCTCGAAGGCTCGAAGAAAAAAGGCAAGAAGGGGTAAACAGGAAAAGGAAGTGCACACACATACACACGCATGTGACCCCCATTGAGGGGGCAAGCAATATCCCTACCACCCCCCACGAACTCATTTGCCTTTGCGCTCACGTCTGTGTAATTTATGCCAACAAAAAACATTGCATGGGCATGCCCATGCCAATTGGGTAGAATGGGTACATGGGAACATAGGAAGTGTTGGAGAGGTCCAATATAAGTCATATATCATCTGGAAATTAAACTACTTCAACGGATATGTACCGATGTACGGTGAAAACTATGCAAAGACTGATGTAACTTGAACAGAACCATCATTATTACAGAAAAGACTTTAGGGATTACAGAACAATACCTATTTTCATCAACTGAATGTGGATAAAGGGTACAACTAAAGTCGATTGTCTCCGTCTACTTACATCTATTATACATCTATGCTACATTCAATATACATCACTTTGTACATCCACAGTGGCGTATACATTTGGTTTTCCACAAAAACTCCTCCAACAATCCAACAATTCATCCAGGCATAATTATATATAAATTCATTCAGCTTAGTTTTGATTAATACAGATTAATACTCCACTTGGATCCAGAGTTTATATAAATAGACACACGCGCCTATAAAACTTCTCTACATGTAGTTTACATATAACACGTGACGCCATGTCAACTTCTGAACTTCATAGCGGACGTTTCCCGAACTATGGCACTTTTACACTTTTTCTACATGCATTTGTTTGTTCTTTTTTCGCCGCGGCCGCCCAAAATTAGCGACGTCTTGTTGCCACATAAGCCGGCTTCCCTGCTCTATCAAATGTGTTTTTCCTTATAAGAATTGCAGCAGGCAGATTTCTTCCGTAATTGATTCCATTTCGCTTTTCCGATCGATCGAGAATTGGCAACAGGCCACAAAATTCTCGCCAATTTGAAGCATAAATTGCAGAATACAAAGATAATGAAAACCAGAAGTATTTACCTAAGAATAATATGAAATTCAGACATGGGAATAGCTTAAATAGTTCCAAGTATGAAATGAATAATTAAGCCAATAAACTTTTGTTTGTACAATACAAATGCAAAGACCTTGAGCTGGCCACCAAAATTCTCACTTGCTGCCAAAAACTATTCGAAATTCGAGTACAAAAGCAATTATTTAATGGCTTAACCAAGGAAAAACAGTCACCTGAGAAAGTAGTGAAATGAAAGCTGCTGCTCATTCAACTCTTGCTCTGCTCTGCTCTGCTTAACTGGAGTGAACGACGTAGGAAACAGGTGCCGGAAATGAGATATCACAGATGACTGACTACGCCGCGCATCCGTTCAGGAAACAGGTGGATTCTGCTGCTGCTACTGCCGATGATGGATTGCTGCTGATTTGTGTGCATACTTTATCCCACGTAAAACCACGTAAAAATGTATTGATATTCGGGTGTAATGTAAAAACTGGATGCTTATATTTCGTCTGCTTCTCGCCGGTTAGACCAGTGCCATATCGAAAACTTGTTCTAGTTTATAGTTGATGGATTCTAGTTGATTTTTACTGCTTTTGCTGCTGCTGTTCTTGTTGTTGTTGTTGCGGGTGTTGGTGTGTAGCATAAGCATCGACCCGATTCTCCAGTTAGATGAAAAGTTTACTTCCTATTCTGGTTGTTGCGGGCCATGTCCTTAGGGAAGGAGCGGAGTGGCGGCGTACGGATGCGACGTGCCTCACGGGAACGATTGCGCACCACCTTGGAGTGAATTGCGCACGAGACGCAGTAGTGCAATTTGGCGTAGAGTTTGGGGAGCACGTACGAGTCCCAGATGCTGGCCTCGGTGATGTCGCGCACAGCAGCCGCCTCCACAATGTTGCGGATGACGAACTTCTTGATCGCCTTATCCTTGGGCACGCAGCGGGCACAGTTGGTGCAGCGCACGGGCTTCACATGGCCGCGATTGTGCTTGTTCCGCCCTCCGTTACGGCGCTTCTTGGTCATTTTGTTTTCAGCTGCATAATGTTCGGGGTACATTTATTAGCATTTCCCACATATTTATTTCATCGGATGGCACTAATAATTACCTTATTTATCAATTTGAAAATCCACCAAGTGAAATCCGCGTGTTCACGCCAGACGACACTTATGCGAAAAGGGGGTTGCCAGCTCAAAATTTTCGGCACTTGGACGGCACATTTGGCAACCCTATTCAGAGTTGCTTTGTGGCGAGTTTCAGAGTTGCTCTGACAGAAAAAAAAACAGCTGTGCGTAATCGCCGTTCACGACGGGTAGCAGTGGCGTAGCCGTTGAGTGCAGCCATCTTTCATTTGTATTTCAAATTTAATGATTCATTTAACAGATTTAACGGCACACAGCAAAGAATTCGTGTAATAAAATTTGTTTATTTATGCAGTTTTGCTTTTAGTACATTTACAATTGTTATAGCAACATAGATCCGGTTCTTTGTACAAAGTTTACATGGAAATATTTATAAAAAAAAAATATTTGCATGTGGCTAAATTTTGTTGTCGTTACAGTCTAAATATCAACTTATCCGCGCCCCTTGGACACGCGCTTGTGAGAGCTGCGTTCTCGTTCTGGTTTTCTGGCGCGATCCTGGTCACGGGAACGTTCTCGATTACGTGGGTGATCACGATCCCGATCACGGTCACGGTCTCGATTGTCACGACGGTCATGATCCCGTTCCCGCTCCCGCTCACGTTCTCTATTTCTTTCCTGATCTCGTTCTCCTCTGTCACGTTCTCGATCACGATCACTGCCGAGGCGGCCACCACGTTGTTCTCCTCTATCGTTTCGGCGGCCTTGGGATTCGCCTCGTCGGGTTTCTGGACGACGGCCACCGGAGTCTCCACGAAGACCTCGCGATTCTCCACGACGACTACCGGAGTCTCCACGTCGGCCACCGGAGTCTCCACGAAGACCTCGGGATTCTCCACGACGGGCATCTCGCTCCCCTCGCCGCTCCGGGTGTCTTTCCTCATGGGCAGAAAACGATGGCTCCCGCTTCCTGGCACCATTTCCATTGAGCTGATGATGATAATGTGGTTGGCGCTCCTGTTCTCGGCCCATGGGTGGTCCCTCCAGGTTGAATCCATCGCTGTCTTCCTTTCGGGTCTTGAATTTGTTGTTGCTGTTGTGGTTGTTGTGGATTTTGCTGCTCTGCTCCTGGCGCATGATCTTCGGCTGGGGCTGGCCATCGCTGTCGTCGTCGTCGCTGCTCGAGGCGGCCTCTGATGCTGAGGAGGATGTGGAGGAGGCCTTGCTGCTTTCAGAGCTGCTGCTGGAACTGGAGCTCTCCTGGTGCTTGCGCTTGCGTTTCGACTTCTTTTTGGCGGCCTTTTTCTTCTCCTTTTCGCGCTTCTTTTTCTCCTCGCGCCCCCGCTCCTTCTCTTTATCCTTTTCCTTTTTGGATTTCTTCTTTTTGTCTTTTTTGTCCTTTAACTTTTTGAGCTCTGATTTTCGCTGCTTTTTGGGCTTCTTCTTGCGCTTCTCCTTGCGTTTACGCTTTCGCTGTGGCTCGGACTCGGAGCTGGAGGATTCACTGTCGCTGTCCTCATCGCTGGTGCTCGACTTTTGCTCGCTGGAGTCTCCGCTGCTGCTGCTACTGGAACTGCTCGACGAACCGGCAGAGGAGGAAGTCACAGCAATGGGTACTGCCCCCGCTGCTGGGGCAGATCCTGGATCCCGGAATGGATTCCCCCCAGTGGACAGGAGCTCTGAATTGATCGCGGGCACTGCTTTGGGCGCTGTCTTTAGGAAACGTCGCAGATCATCGGTGAGTCCACCCAAACCAATGGACGTGAAGAAATTGATGGAGAATCGTGTGTTCCGAGGATTATCCTTGGGGAAGAGACCCGCCAGGCTCTCCACCAGCACCTCTTCCTTGAGCTTGGAGTTGAGTTTGCCCAAGCCCATGTATTCGGCGAGCTCCTGGAACAGAATCTTGATGAAAATGCGACTGGATGAGGTGGTATCGTCCTCGTTCAGCAGGACACAGTCCAAGACATCCCAGCTGATGGAATCGGTGAAGAGCAGATGGGCAAAGAACTTGCTCACATTCCGCAACCGATTCGTGTCCAGGCGATGCGTCGTCTGGTAGGTGTCCTTGAAGATCTCCTCGAAGGGGGGTATATACATTCGATTGATGTTGCAGAAACGCTGCGCCAACAGGCCGTAGAACTTCTCGTAGGTCCGCTGCTCGGCACAGCAGTCGAGGAACATGTGGCACAGCTCCACCTCCTGCCCCGGCTTCAGCTCCATTTTCATCAGCTTGTGGGCGCACTCCTCGTAATCCAAACTCGAGTTGATCGTCAGATATATGGTGCGCCGCAGAGCAATTAGATTCGTCTCCGTGTTGTCGATAATATCCCCGGCATCGGTCTTTTTGCCGACTTCGGCATCCGAGTTGATTTCACCATCCGAATCGCTGTCGGAATCGGAGCCCGAGCCAGAGCCAGAGCCCGAGCCGCTGCCATCATCGCTGCCCAGGATTTCGGCACTCAGACCCTTGTATTTGTCCTCGTTTTCGGCAAAGTTCTCGTCAAATTTGAAGACATCTAAAGAGACATTGATGAACATTAGGATTAGCCAGGGATTAGAGAGGGATTTAGTGGATTATACTCACTCAGTATATCCTCCGTTTCGGTGGCCTCGTCCAGCATCATGAGATGCGTAAACTGCTCGTCCTCTTCGACCAGCTCCAGTTCTCCCACAATGGCCAGATGATCCTTGAAGCCATCCTTGCGCACTTGAAACAGCACCTCGATCATGTACTGTACTCGTTTGTCCAGCTTTCCCTCGTGCAGGATGTTGCGCAGCATCTCAAAAATGGCCCCAATGCCCTTGGACGAGACCTCCGTCAGTTTCATGCCGCACTCCTTGAGAAAGGCAATGGCCACCTCCACGGAATCATCGGTGGGCGTCTCCACCAGGAGCGTGAGAATCTCCAGGGCCAGTATTTCGTGGGCCACACGCTGATTCACCAGATGAGCAATGAATCGAGTGGACGACAAGCAGACGAGCTTGTCATTGCGCCGAAAGGCACGGCGGAACTGAATGACCAGACGCTTGAGCAGCAGCTCGCCGATATTCGGGAATTTCGAATTGATAATGGCCACCAGAGCGGCATACACGTGCGTGAAGGTGGGCGAGGCGGCCTGGGCCTGGATGATGCTCCTCGACAGCAGGCCCCGTCCACGGACGATGTTCTCCCGCAGGAGTTCGCGGGTAATGATGGCAATATTTGTGACATTCACCTTGTTGATGTACCCGTGAATGGACTTCTTGAGCGCCTCCCAGGCGATGCGCTGATACGCAGCCGATGCCTTGTCCGTGATCCCCTCCTGCAGCAGCCGGAGCTTCGCTGGCGGTATGTAAGCGCCTCCGGTGCGCGATGTCAGCACATCCACAGTGCGACGCTGGCGTTCTGTGATCTTGGCCGTGGGATTTGTGACCGTGGCATTGTCGGCGATTGCCGAACCTGCCCTCTTGGAGCCGCCACTCGAGCTGGAGCGCCGCTTGTCGCTGGACCTCCGCCTGGATCTCTCGCGAGAATCATCGCGCCGACTGCTGCGCGACTTTTCATTGCGACGACGATCTTCGCGCTCCCTCGCCCGCACCTGATCGCGTTTATCGCGCTCCTCGTGCCGCTTCTGACGTTCGCGGCGTCTCCGCTCCAAGGAGCTGGAGCGGCGACGCTTCGGGCTCTTGCTGCGACTGCGTGTACGGGTGCGACGGCGACTGCGGCTGGGACTGCGTCGCCGGTTACGGCTCTTTTCATCACCACTGCGACTACGTTTGCGCACTTCGCTGGCCAGCGTCTGCTTGGGCACAGGCACAGGCACAGGCGGCGGCACATTATCGTCGTCGTCGTCCTTCTGTGGAAGGGATTGCCATGAGTTTTTTTCAGCGGCTTGTAGTTTTGTTTGATCAAAACTTACATCAGTTATTTCGCCCTCTTCGATGTGATTCGATGGACTGGCAGCTGTTGGTGGTGGTGCTGCTGCTGCATTGTCCGCTCCATTAGTGGTCACGGAATGATCTTTATCAGGTTCCTCCTCTGTTACTGCCACTGCCGCTGCCTCTGGCTGCGGTTTCTCATCGGAATTAGTCACAGTTGTGGCATCCAAGGGTCGTTGCGGGGTAGATGTTTCGGTTTCTGTTTCCGCTTCAATTGATTTTGTTATAGCTTCCTCTTCTACTTTTTCTGCTGCCTCTGCAGGCGCCGCTGCTGTCGGTACTGCTTCTGCTTCTGCTTTTTCCACGCCAGCCGACACAGACGTGTCAACAGCAACAGCAGCTGTGGAAGAGTCAACATTTGATTGTTTTTCCGGCTTTGCTGCTGCGGTTTGCTTTTGCTCGTCCTCCTCTTTTGGAGAGGCAACTTTTTCGTCTGTTTGTAGCACTTTCTTTTCTTCCTCCTCCTTCTTTTGCGGCGGCTCCTCTACGGCGGGGGAATCATTAGATACTTCTGCCGGCGTCACTTCTTCTTCTGCCACTTCTTTTGCCTTCTGGCCGCGCTCTTCCTCTTCGTTTTCCTCCTGACCGCTTGCCAGACGGCTACCAGCATCACTTTTGGAGGCACTGCCGCTGCCACTGGTGGAGGAACTGCTCGAGGAGCCACTGCTACTACTGGAGCCACTGCACGAATCACTTTCTGCATCGCTTTCCCCCATTTTTAGTGAGAGGCCTGGAAAAACTACTTTTGTGAAAATTTGACAGGCAAAACGTTGGCAAAACAGTATGGCTTATCGATAAAAATATACGGTCCGATCATTACAAATATACCGTCTCGTTTTAAAAATATACCGTAAATATGCTGACTAATTCAAGTTCAATCCCTCGTTTTTGATATTCCTTGGAATATTACTAGCTATATAGAACATTTAACCATGCCCACATAATTTTATCCGATTAATCAATCAATTTTCTACTTGACCGGCACATTAAATACTTGGCCCTTGATTGTTTTTGCCTTAATTTTTGTTGCTCAACAACAATATAGCGACTCGTATGATGGAAACCCGAGCTTAGCCCACTTAAGCCCCCTATATTTAAATAGTTCAACCACTCAAGGTAAATGGCGGAAAATATTAACAATTGTACATTCTTATAGATCCATCCTATCCTTCCCTTTAACTTGCCAAACCCCACGAATCTTTCATATGAACTGCGCTAAAATGATTACCCCCTTGGCTTATAATAGGTTAATAGTTCTCCGGCAAGCATTGAAACCATATTGCTTAATTTTGATGTTCCGTCAAATATAATAAGCTACATAGAACATTTAACCATGCCCACATAGTTTTAACCGATTAGTGAATCTATTTTCGAATTGACTGGCCTATTCTAAATACTAGCTTTTATTGGATTTCTATATTCCGTTGAAAATTAAATTTAATAGATTGATGAAATTGACAAAATATGCCGAAAATATACCTTCATATATATATATATATATATATATTTTTGTGGAATTTTTGAACTGATTTTCCTAATTCGATGCAATCCTAGCCTTTTTTTATGTAGTTTTATTGACGATATGCGAAAAAGAAACCCACCTTTGGTCCCGCGTTCTGGTTCCAATTCCAGCTGTATGGTTCCGTGGGAAGTATCCATAATTTCTGATATTGCACTACTGAAATTATTTGTAATTAAATAAATGTTAATAGTTTGTATTAAAATTGATAAATTGTTATGCAATTACCTTTTCTTATACTCGCTCTTGAATATTTTCTGTTTTCGGCTGGAAATCTTGATGAAATTTAAGCAATATTTTTTTCAAAGCCTTAATCTTTCGTTAGTTGAAAATATTTAATATGTGAACTAGGTTTTTTCGGCAATCAATTGAAATCAAAGACAACTAGATCCGTATTCTCCAGAGCTGCATTTCTGCAGGTTGGATATGAATAGAAATTCAATACATAGGTTTTAACGGGAGAAACAAATATAAAAATTAAATAAATATGTTGAAGCTGTCAACAGCATCCCACCTATAAAGGGATGATGGTAGAACACCTGATATTTCAGATATAAAATATCAAATTTAACTGTATTCTATGCTACTCAAATACTAACCCTCACAACCACAACCACAATGCCCTCTTTTGCAAAGATTCCTTGTATATAGTACTTATATCTAAAAATTCCTTATATAATAAAAAAAATCAACCTTAAAGCACTTGGAACAACGAGAACTAAAATATATATTTTTTTAGTTTACAATCAATATTATTTATCCATAGTAAATACTTAAAATAAAATTAATTACAATAGGTTTTAAGGCTTATCCCCGATCTAGACCTGGTTTCCTGGTTTGCGTGGCACTGTTTCGGGAATATTCGGCGACACATCATCGTCGCTGCTGTCCGACGAGGAGGAGGAGGACGAGGAAGAATCAGCCTTGGATACACGCTTCTCGGGTATCGAATAGGGGAACTTAAGATCCTTCTCCTCGACAGCCTGCTTGAGCCTCAGCAGGGCCGTGCGATTGATATTCTCCAGTGAGACATCTTTCACAGCATTGGAGAGCACATCGAGAGCCTTTTCGTGGTTTCCCTTGGTCGTTTGGATGTCAATCAGACAGGAGTAGGCATTGCCAATGGCTCCTTCGGATATTTTGCTATCCCTCAGCTGTGAGATCACCGACGTGGCCAGCTTCTCGTCCTGCTGCTCACGGGCCGTCTGAAGAACGCGCTGGAACATCAGACGCGGCAACTGCGACAGATGCTTGTCCCAGATCTCCTTGGAGGCCGCCTCCTGGCCGCTGGATATCAAATGCATCCACAGCACATTCATGGGCCCCAATTGATTGTGGGCGGCAAATTTCTCCGCCAGCGTTTGATCTGTACAAAAGAAAACAAGATTTAAATAGGGGTAAGTCCTCCCTCATGCATCTCCACTCCACTTACATTGCGGCACCAGTTCCGGATGCTTGTCGAGTATGCCAACGGCCCCTCCACGTGGGAACTTCTCCGCCTGCTTGGCCGCCTCCTCGGGCGTCTTGGCGGTGTCTATCTCGACGGTCAATTGCTTGAGGAACGGCTCAGCCTTGCCGGCCACAATGTTGGCATGGCAGAAACGATTGTCAAACGACACCATGCGCTTCTGCTCTTCGTTCAACTGCTTGCCAATCTTCTGCAGGGTTTCCAGATCCCCCGCAGCGGCAACTTTGTTCAAATAGAACCTGAAGATCTTTATCTGCGGATGGAGTCCATCGGCCAGGAGTTCTTCCACATATTTTGTGGCCTCGGCCAGACGATCGTCACGCACCAGGAGCTCAATGAGTCGGGAAGTGTCCAGAACGTTGATCTTGTCGGTGGCTGCCAGGTTCTGTTTGTGGCTGATGGCCGCATCCAGATCGTTGGCCAGCAGTGCCTTGCGGAAGCCAGACTTGTGGGAGACGGGCCTTACAGTAGCCTCCTGCTTGGCTGGCTCCTTCTTTGGTGTCGGCTCTTTCTTGACGGCGGACTCCTCCTTGGGCGTATCTGTCTTCGTTTGCTCCGGATTTTTGGGCGCTCTGTTCCTTCTCGATTGCTGCTGCGTTTCGGGCACCACAAATGGCACATCAATGTTCTTGCGCCTCAGAATTTCCGCCAGCTTCAAGAGGAATGCATCGGTGGGTGTCAGAGACTCTTCCTGCATTTTGGTCCACAATCCGAGAGCCTTTTCGGCCTCATCGGCCTTGTCGTAGCTCAGCAAAAGCGTGTAATAGATCTTGTTTCGGTCGATGTGTCCCAAGTCCTTGGTGGCTTCTATGAGACCCTCGAGGGGCTGCAGCAGACCCTCATTCCGATACCGATCGCAGGCACTGCTGATCCTCTGGGGGCGTGTGCGCAGGCCGGGTGTCTCCAGGATCTTCCTGGCCTGACGCACGCGACCGCATTCCACAAAGGAGAAGACCAGATCGTACAAACTGTTGACCTCGCCATGGATGCCCGTGCTCAGGTCGGTCAGACGCTGCAGATTGACGGCATCCTCCTTCTGGATGAGACGGCACGAGAGCTCATTCTTCCAGGGTGTCACCTTGTACGTCTTGCAGATCCCCTCGAACGTTTCAATGGCCTTGGGTATGTCGTCCTTCACCAGATGCACCTTGATCAGTGGCCCCAGCAGGACATTTGTGGGCACAATATAGTTGTCGGCTAACAGAGCATCGAACAGGCGACGCAGCTTCTCCGGCTGCCCGGCCTCTGCGATGGCATTAAGCACACGCCACACGGTGCTCACATAATTGAAGCTTCCTTCGGTTTCGCTGATGGGCGCATCCTTTTTGTTATCCGCCAGCAGCTGGAAGGCCTCCTCCACACGCTCCTCCTGCAGCAACAGATCTGCCAGTCGCACTGTCTTCAGGTTATCCAACTGGAATGTAGGTTCTTTGGCCCTCAGCTTCGTGTAGACGTCCAGGGCCTCAGAGCTGCGCTTGTGGTGCGTATACAGATCAACCAGCTGCGCATGGATGCCCAACGGGATCTGGTACTTTTCCGATTCCAGTTTTTCTATGACCTGCAGGGTCTTTTCAATGTTTTGAGAACGGAAACAGGCATTTAGGAGCTGTCTTTTGATGTTGTTTGCATTCTCGCCCTTGGCCTCCACATTAACAATGAAGCGCTCCAATTCTGGGGGAGATTTCAGTTGTTTAAAAGAGCGATAAATAAATTATCTTTCAATTACTCACCATCGATGGACAGGGAATCCAATGTTCGCTTGCCGCTGCTTGGCAGAGGCGTCGGCTCCAGCTCTCCGGAGCTTAGTTTTCCCAGCAATTCGGAAATCTTGGGCGTCATTTCGGCACCCAGTTGGTCCGAGAGCTGGGTGGCCTTTGCGCTGCTGATGGACAGCCCCTGCTTGACCAATCCCAGAAGGATCTTCTCCAGCGTGGCCACACGATCGCGATGAAAGTAGTTGCTTGCCTCCTGGACAATGCCACCCACCACATCGGTGACGCTGTTCTTCTCCGTAGCTGCTGCTGCCGCCTCTCCCTGTTCGGCCTCCTCCTCTTTGCCAGCAGAACGCTGTTGCAGTCCCTCATGGATCTGCCTCACGCAGCGGATAAACGAGGCATAATCATTCGTGTGGCTTAGGGCGAGGATCAAGGGCTGCCTGAAGAGCATCGGGACATAGTGGGCTCTGTTCTGCTCCATAATCTTGGCGGCATCTGCAATCTGATGCGTGACTAAAGCGGCATAAACAGCAGAAGTGACAGCCGTGGAGTTGGAGACACCAGCATCTCTCAAGGCAGTGATGACACGCTCCCAGTTCTTCTCCTTTAAGCTGGGAATCACATAATCCCTGATCGTTTCCGAGTTGGGAAGCACTGCAAACTCCTGTTGCATGCGACGGACAATATCCAGCACCTGATTGGACTCCACCGAGCAGATGAGGGGCCAGAAGTAGTGCTGGCGGATGGGCAAACCGGCATTCTTCATCTCCTTCAGCAGCGGCAGAGCATTGTTCACGACGCCATTGGTGAGACCCGCCTCCGTGGCAATGGACAAGGCCTTGGGATTGAGTCCTTCTGCTTGGAGGGTCTTGCAGATGGTCAGAATCTTCTCCACCGGGCGATTGGCCTTTACCATTTGTCGGATGAAGAAGGCGCCCACATCCACGGGCTCGCCATTCACGCGATTCGATCTCGGCATCACACGCAGAATCTGCAGACCCACCTCTTCGTGGCCCTTGTTCACGAGACGTAGTATCACGTTGACGGCATCTTGATTGAAGCCCGGGGATATGTGCAACTTTGCCAGCAAATCATCAACCTTTTCGCTATTGCCATTCACCGCCAGGGTGTACACAGTATCCAGCAGATCCTTGTCCTGCAAGATGATCTCTTTTTGGTCGCATTCTGTGAGGGTCTCCTGCAAAGCAGCCAGATCTCCATGACGGGCAAACGCACACAGCAAAGTCGTATAAGTGTCGGCACTGGGCTCTAGGCCGGCCTGCTTCATCACCGCCAGAATGCCCTTCGCCGACTCCAAATCGTTGGCCTACAGAGGGGGGAATATATGGATCAATCTATCTATACATGCCCTAGGGGTTCCTCCACTCACCTGCGAATGTCCCAGGATCAAGGAATTGAAGACATTCTCATTCACAGGCAGACTCTTGCCCCGCATAAACTCCAAGATTCTGGTGGCACCCTCGATGTCACCCTGCTGGCAATAGCGTGCAATCAGCCGCTGATATGTCACTCTGTTGGGTTCGATGCCCTTGGCCTCAATCTCGGCAAGGAAATCCGTGGGTGCAAAGGGATGCTCGTTCTCCAGGTACACGCGCAGCAGAGCATTGTAATGGGAGATGTCCATGGGTACATTGAGGGCATTCAGGGTCTTCCAGATCTCCTGCACCAGGGCTGTGCGTACCTCGGGCAACTCCTCGGGCACCAGATTCCCACAGCATCGTATGACCATCAACGACTGCGAACTGGTCGCGGTGCGGTGTGTGCGTATCTCATCGAGGATTTCCTCCAGATCACGTCGCGAAATGCGGCCAATGCGTCGCACATCGTGGTCCAGACGACGGATCTGCTTATCGAGACTCAGCTCCGACTTGGCGGCGGCATTCGTAGCGAAGCCACTGAGAAAA